GTCAAAGCAAGCGTGGCCAAACAGCTCCCGCTACAAACACAGAGGCCAGTGTCAATCAAGGATGCAAAGGGCCGACCCCTCAGCCAGACAGACACGCCAGTCAGACCTTCGGCAGAGCATTCGGCTCACGCAGTGGGCCCCACGGCGTCACACACAGGCTGTCACGCTTCGCAAGGCTTGAGCTCAACGCAGCACTCCGCAAGGCTACCCGTAACAAGGCCGGAACGGACCTACCGCAGAGGTCTGGCAACGGCGTCCAGAGGATGTTGGCGTCATCCAGGCCCTCGTACAATGTGTCCAGGAGAAGTACCTGAAGAAAACCTGCTGCATTTCTTTTGGCACAGGCTCTGGGAGGGCCTCTGTGAGGCATTGGCGGTTCTGAAGAGGGTTGCGAGTAAGAATCCCCTAAACGACGTCAAGTCCTTGGGAAACTCGTTCCGATTGAAGGCATCCGCTCTCGCTAGAAGAGGGATCGACGAACTCAAGTATGTGTTGTGGCTGACGCTCTGAAGCCGTGCTTATGAGTTGGCCTGTACCGGTCAAGTCTGCCATGCGCTAGGGCTGTGAGCCCTCGGCCAGCGTTCGGGATCTGTCGCTTGACGGTAGACCCCTGACGGGTTTAGCGTATAGGGTTTAGGGTTTAGGACGTAGGGTTTAGGGTTTAAGGTGGGGAGTCAAGTTGATTGCCACGTTAGCACATAGTTGTAAGGATTTAGTAGACAATCCCTGTTTGCCTAGACCCCATCGAACTGAAACACTTAAACCTTGCAACACCTTGAAGCGCAAATCCCCAAAGCCAGGCAAGTACATGAGGTTTTTCCAACTTCAGAGGCCCTTTGAAGCAAACCCTCTAGCATGTTGATATGATACGTAAAATAGCCGGACCATATCCTTGAAAACCACCCTCTGGCAAAAAAGGACTGATCGTGCGTCGCGAGTTCTTTCTTGAACAAGGCTACAGAATCCGCTTAATTAATCTGGGGGTAGCATTGGCGTCGAGTGAGCCATCTTTATCTTTGTCAGAGCCTGGCCATTGTTTGGGCAGAGGGTCCATGTAGGTATATGGTATATACTTAAGGCCCAACGGGGTTCCCATATACCTACTTTAAGTTTAAAGCCCCAGTATCCACCATATAGCTACATGGACCCTCTGGGTTTGGGCAGAGATCCAGGGACGGAGAGCAAACCAGCAGGGATACTGCTTTTGTCATAATGCCAAAGCAGTGTCTGTTCTGAATAGGTTTTGTTGTTCTGGTTTAAGGCAGTTTAACGTTGTATCATTTTGTTGGTTGCTTGTTTTTCGCGCATGGTCGCTTGAGATTCCTCTTACAGAGCTGAGGTCTGAAATCTGGGGTGCATCCCTAAACGGGCAACCCTGAAGCCTAAACCCTTTACCCTAGATCCCAAAACATGAGTTGAAGCCCAGGCCCCCCGAGGCGAGACCCACATGCAAAGTAAGATTTACGAAGCTCCATAGGGAGGAGATTACATTCCTGTGAGTTTCAAAGCCCGAAACCTGGATCAATGTTGGGGACATTTGGGGACTCTTTATATTTTGGGGGTATGGGATTCTTTATATGTATTTAAGACGGATCCTGGTTTTCTTTTTAGGGTGATGTGGGCTAAGAAGCCTTTTCACGGAAACCTCCCAGCTGCTGCTCAAGCTTCCTAACTCAGTTTCGGGTTGGGCAAACGCTGTTAGGGGCTTAAGGCTTACGGAAAGGTAGCCACGAACGTGATCATGACCGACTTTTTCTACTACTTGAGTCCGGATGATGCAGTCGAGAATGTGACCCTGGATACTTTTTGGATGATTCGAAGGCCAGACGACCACCTTCAAACCTCAATGCCTATGTATGTATATGTATATGTATATTCAGCAACATTCGTTTCTTTGTTTATACACACGAAGAACAGATACCTATAATAGGATCGCTATGGACACCAAGAAGCAGGTAAGGCAATGGGCGCAGAATTAAGCGCTGTAATCCTTAACTTTGGCCCATGATTTTACTTTGTGTAAAACTTCATCAAAATGATATGGAGTATGTGTCTTGGCTGTAGTGGCAACGAGTGTACAAACTTCAAGATTTGCAAAATCATTGGCACTGTACTTTATGCACGTTTGGGATGGCTCGAAGCCCCACCCCCCCCCCCAATATATCTCTAAATCCAAGACCCTAAACCTCAAGTCCTATCCCCGAGCGCCCACGTAGACATATGATCTAGGTCCTGGGGATCCTACCCCCGCCCCCCGGGTATGGTCACCCCCTCCCAGCAGGTCAGGGGTCGCTATCCTCGCAACTGTGGTCGTCTTTGATGCCTCAAAGCTCCCACCCCTGTAACTGTCGTTTGTTTTAGCCCCCCGCGCTTTCGTCGCAAGGATGGGGCGCCCGGGCGTCGCAGTCCTTGCATTTGTCATCACTTTTGGACCTTCGTGTGGTCTTGGCGTCTGAAAGGTGCCAATCACCCGCCAGACACATAGCCCTCAGCAATGCGTCAAGTACAGGGGCAAGCTCGGCGCAGACAGCGAAATTGATCTTGCACATCTTCTTGTCAAAGCACCGCTTAACTTTAGCAATGAAGACTCTGTCAACGAGGTCAGCCACCGACCCAACCGCATGGAAGTGAGTCTTCAAGCTGTGTAAGTCCGCGGGAGCCACCCCCTCCATGAAGATATCAACTTTCGCCATGGCCGCCCAACTATGATACTGGGGCTCGCCAAGCTCCTCCAAGGCCTTGTGGTTACGCTTGTCCCTGGCATCTTTGGCTTTCTCGGTGCAGGACCACGTGGCTTCTTGGGCTTCACTGACATAGGAGGAGCCCATCTCCAAGTTGATAGTCTTGAAGGTGGCGCTCTGGAGCTCATGAATCTCCAACGAGTGTCGGAGCGAAGGCTTGAACAACAGCATCAGGAGTTTACCCGCTGTTCTTGCTTGGGTGTCTCACTGCGAGGGTTGCTTGGCACGCCTGGCATCATAGAGGCAAGCCAGTTGTCCACGTTGAGCTGCAACACCGGAGGACGGGTATCAAGGGGACACCACAACACACTATGGGCTCGGACCTGCCGCATGCGTGGTAATGCATGCAAGCAAGGAATCTAAGCTGTCATGGTTTTGCAAGCAAAACGGACACACCAACTCAGGAACTTCTGCCGCAAAAGCGGTGTTGGAACCTCTGCCTGTGCAGCGACGTTTTTGCAATGCGCGCCGTATATGAGATTGTGCTGTGCGCTGATTGCCATACACATGTCTACACCATGGGCAAACATTAGTGACAGCTGCCTGTCGTGCCACCGAAGGCTTACCATGATTGCCAGGTGAAGGTTTTGCGCACGAGCAGTGTCTGACATGAATCAAAAGCAGCATCATAAAGGCTACCATTGTCAAGTAAGCAATCACATTTTTCAGGCCGTTCTGTTTCAACTGGATCAACCGGGTCGTGGGAAGGATACTCAAAACCCTGTGGTGGAATTGCAACAGACAGGAACTGCATGCGCAAAACACTGCAATCAACACGCACGAAGGCTTCATGCAAGTCCGAAAACACACGAAAAACTCTGCCTGCAAGCTGCTCCACAAGATCCTTGCCACCGTCACACACAGCAAGTGACTCAACATCACTCTCGAATTGCAAGGCCCACGGGCTTGCATTTCTCGACACTCGGCCATGCGCGTCCAAAGCCGGTGAGGTCTCAAATTCATATTGCCCGAATACCGCTGCCAGCAAGGCAAAATGCAACCCGGGATTTCTCGCAAGTCTCTGGCAAATGCGCAGGCGTCGTGCGCACGCAACTCAATGCTGGTAGGTGCAAGGTGTAGGAAGCGCCACACGTCACTGGAAAGAACAGCATGGTACAGAGTCGTTTCATTCTCAGCAACGACTTAGCGCAGGCTTGCCGCGCGCAAGCTTGTGCCCCTATCCCAACACAGCACGGTCCAGCCTCCTGCACTCACCGTCCAACAGAACTCGAGCCTCCAGCCCGGACAACAACCTGGAGTAAACGTTGCAAGAAAACACGTTGCGCAAGGGCCTTGTGGGGGTTTTGGGCCTGCTCCAAAACCGTCTGAAACAGCACCATGCGGAATTTGCAGCGTGCAATCTCGCACCAATCTCAGCAGCGCTGCGTCCAGAGTACTGCGACAAACCACCCAAGTATTTCAAACATCGAGCAATGTTTCCAGGGACCAAATTGCCACCACATGCAGCCCGCGTGTTTTCATCAGCGCCCGTTCTGAAGTGGGACATGGTGGACTTTTTTGTCTTCATTTTGTGCCATGTCTAGGGTTTCCAAAGATTGCTCGAACAGTGCTGCTGACAAGGCTGCTCGAAATGACATGTCTGTGGACCCTGTGGAATCCTGGACAACATGCTTCTGACGCACATCATCTGCATACGACGTGGAAGCAATGTGAGCCTTTTGCGCTGACACGGGATCCTTGGAAACAAGTTCCTGCCCCACAGCATTATGCAAACTAGCTTGCCGCCCATCCAGAACTGGGTGATATGCTTCAAGAGTGAACACAGGCAAACCCGTCTCTCTGCAACATCCCGGACCAGGACAAACTTGAAGCGCACCACCGCTGGCTGAAATGCACATGTGCGTGGATTGGTGCCTCTGCTGTAGCAAGCTGCGGTCCTCAGGCCTTGCCACTGCATCCACGCATTGCGACAAAATTTGGCTCTTAGGACTGTAGAAGGCATTGGCAACATCATGGGACGACTTGAGTACCGACAGCCCTGCTTTCCTAACCCTCCACCCAACCACTTCCTGTTGTAACATCGGGTCAATGCGTGACTTGCCTTTGAAGTATGCAGAAGCATAGGGCCTGGGATGCATGGGTCTACACTTACTACTTACTACCAATCCAGCGGTACAAAACTTTCCCCAACACGTCCAAACTATCAATGGCACGAACTCCAGCGCATTTAGGTTTACCAGTATGCTTATCGAGGGTTGCCACCTGACTGCGTTGCCATTGTACAAGTGTTTCATCATATGCGCAGATAGACACCAGTAACCGACACAGCATCCAATCAAAGTGGGATATTGAAAGCTGCGGAGTTTGGGCAGAACCAACACCAACAGGTCTTGTGTCAATTTTCCATGTGGGGTGTAGTACTTGTCGCCGCACCTCGGAGGGAACGGACCATGTGGGGCACTCTTTACGCAAAGGCAGCTTCTTACTGACCCATTGCAACCCTCTGAGGTCATGTGTGGCTTCCTCATGCGCTGCAAGAATTGCTGTTTGCTTGGGTGTTGGATCGCGCACATGCCGAACAACAGCATCCCATGAGCAGGGAGTTGCCAAACAGCCACCTTGAGGTCCAGATTGTTCCAAGAAAAGCTGCCAATTCTCACACGTGGGCTGTACAGACCGGGGACGGTCGTACCTACGCATTTTGGGGCCCATCCTAAACCCTGAGAGTAACCTGCCAACCCGATGGCAACCTCTGGTATCCCGTTTGGACCAATAATGATTGAATTCTTCAACCCTACACTGCTCCCGTTGAAATCTCATATGAGCAACTGGTCAGATGCTCTACGAGCCCGCTAGAAATGCGCCATGCGGCGCCACTGTTGCATAAGATTACTAAGAAACTGCGAAGAATCACGGGGCGCTGGGGCTGCAGGTAGTTCAACAACAGCATTCCTAGCATGTGCCGTGAATTGTATTGCGGTAGTAGTGTCAGCAGGCCTTTCCCTAGCCCAACGTGATGACTCACTGAAATGCTGAGAAGTTGCTTCATGCATTGCTTGTTGTAAGTGCCTTCATACAACAGCGGGCCGGGAGTGGGAAGTGCCCAATTGTTGTAGGGCCTGTGCGCATTTGGCATCAACAGCTTTAAGGAACTCATGGCGACCCGCTCCCGTGAGTGCTGCATTTGCCAACCGGTCTCTGTCAAAGCGATCGAAAGCGAGTGTGGTATGGCTGTCGTATGACAAGGCATGTCTAAACTCCATCAACATGAGCACACGGTCACGTCAACCTGGGCAAACATGCCATTGCAATTTCTTGGCTTTATCAGTGTGAACACGAACTCTCGAAACATCACAATGCAAGCTTTGGGGCAAACAAATGTAGTCAACCCGAGTACCCCTTAAAAATCAAGCTCAGCCCGGACCAACCGAACTGCAACAAACCTACCCGCATTCTACTCAGGGCTCAAAAATCTGTGAAGCGTTGAGTCCCGAAAAACCTTGCTGCCAAAAGCCGAGGCCACGCCCACAGCTTGCTCATGACTGCCCTTGCCATGTCTGCACTCAATCCAGGTGTGTCCAACAACTGCTTTCTGCACCAAGGCCCGTCCCGCCCTCGAAGCGTCAGTGCGAGTGCCCACGGCACCCCAGATATGAGAATGCTGAAGCTTTTTAATGATCTGCTCACGCCTGTACGACAAGTCGCTGGGATTTGGGCTGTACACTGAGATAGCCCCCGCATTCCATTAACGATCAGCAGGGGGGCCCGCTGTGAGGTCACAATTCAAGGCCCTTCCTACGGCCACCTGCTAGCAGAGTGGGGCTCGTGCCAAACGTGGCTCCCGGTCACAATCCTTGTAATGTAGGCCCCTGATTAATAAACCCCTTCCGTTTAAGGGCCTTAATTCTTGGATCCCCATTATAATCCCCACGAATGGGAGGGGGTTTTGGAATCAGGAGTCTACATTAACTGTCGTTACTCTTAGATTTAGACCTTCTTGCCTTTGTCGCGTTTCAAACATGCCAACAGTCGCAGGGATGTTTTCCTCGCTTCTCTAAAGTGCTACCAATCACATGGGGCTGTGTTTGGGGGACTACAAGCTCCTTCTGCCCACATGTGAGCAAGTGCTGCGTTAGACCAAGAACTTACCCTCGTTTAAGGCTAATGCAATTTATACCTTCGACTATAGCTCTACTTAGTGTTAACTTCGGATTAATAAAGCGGGTCGTATTAGAACTAAATCACGCCGACCTGACCAGATTAAGAACAAGACAGGAACGCAATAATTCTAAAGCCAAAGAAGCCAACCACTCTAAGCAACCAAACCCCTAATTAAGTATCCGCAAAAGAAGAATAACATTTGAATTGCAAATAATCATATCCCAAACCTTAAGCCCATGGATCTCAAATCTGATCACTTAAAGCTTTTTTTCGCCAGAAAGCAATTCCATTCCGATTCTCAGGTTTTGATCACGCCAGGTTATCGATTTCTCATAAGATCGCTTATCCGAACCGCCCAGGCAATCATTTCTGATAAGGGGTACTATACCGAGACCGCCGGAACGGAATAATGGCCATTAAAAAGGGTACGGACGGTACGGAATAATCAGGGCCCTGGCAAGCATGGACCCAGAATTTGCAAAATAATAATACGGTTTAAAATGCAGATATATCCCAAGCTTTAGGGCTGGAGCTCTTAGGGTTTAGGGTCAAGGGTTTAGGGTTTAGGCTTTACAGTTCAATTAAAAGCTAGGCTTTATAGGGTTTTGAGTAAGAGCTTAAGGTTGAGGACTTCATCAAGATTTGGGGATCGGGGTTCAAAGTTTAGGGTTCGAGGTTCGGGGCTTAAATTCAATTAAAAGCTCAACAAATATTCCGACATTTGATTGGGGACCTCCTGAACTATTCAGAATCGTATTTGTTGGGCGGGGGGGGGCTTACTAATCAGAACCCCCCCATAGGCTCTATCGTAACCTGGTACTACCACAGGGAGAGGAGAACCGCCGGCACCACAACACCACAAAGAGTCACGCGGACCACAGAGGCAGGGGTGGGAATCACCAGCACCAAAGCTCCGCAACTGGGGCGGGGGGACCCATGCCATGGGGGGGGGTGAGGGGGGAGGGGTGGATGATGTATAAAAACAAGTATACGGGAATTCCTTTTGGTCCTACGTAAATACTCTATGCTCACATGGATCCTTGGGTATATAGCCCCTAATGACCCTAAACCCTAAAACCTTAAACCCTTCATCGGAGGCCGAATCTAACTTCAGCCGTTCAGACCTTGTCTCGCCTCAGCCGGCTGGATACTTACTGGTGGTTAGCAGGGAGTAAGGGAGTATCTATAGGGTTTAGGGCCGAGGGTTCGTCGGGAATATTGGAATGTGTATAGCGTTTTTTGTTTAGGGTTTAGGGTTATAGTAAGAAATAAGGGAATAGAACCCCAATATGACTCCTGCATAGGGTTTAGGTTTCAGGGTAGAGTTCCTCTATAATTGCTACATAGTGTATTCCCTTGTCCACGGCGAAGTCCCAGTGAGGACAACAAACTATTCTTAGAGGAGCTGCCGAACGACTTTGGCACTGCTGCGCTAACACTTGAGCTTCAAGCTGCACCTAGATCAGTTGTCAAGAGCTGTTTTGGTTGTGGGTCCCTAAACCTTAGACCCTAAACCCTAGCCTTACACATGTTTTCAAATATGTTTTATTTCCGCTCCTCCCCCTACCCACCCTAATCCCTAAATTGCCGCTAAACCGTCGGCCCAAAGCCTTCTGGATCAAGGTATTTTGGTGTCTCAGAGGAGGTTTTCAATCCACGCCGGAGCAAGAGGAGGCAAAGCTGCGTCCTCAACTCGCACCAGGTTGGTGGATGATGCGGCGGCCAACCTGTATAGCCAATAGATGAGAGATGTGATGATGGGTTTAGGGTTTAGGGTTTGGGAATTTGTGTTTCGTGATTTTTCAACATTGGGCGTACCCTCTGGGGGTCGCCATGATAAGGACAATAATTAGGGTCCCCGTGTTTATGAAAATACCACATGATATTCGCTTATTAGGGTTTGGTGTTCGAGGCTGTTTGTCTGTAGCTGATTTGGGTGTTTATGACGACTTCAAAGTCTGGTGAGTGCTATATGGTTTTGCTGGGTTATTTTCTTGGAACATCGGTAAGAAAACACTCTACCCTAAACCCTAGTCCGCCTCATCCCCTGAAGGATACCATGCTTCTAGCTTGCTACCGTGCATGGGGACCACTCTTCTCCCGAATAATTGTTTGGGTTAGTTTCCCTTATAATGCTATAATAACACTAAAATATTGATACTACTAATAATGCTAACTAATAATAATGCTAATACTACAAATAATACGAATTAGATGTATACGACTAGATGCACCGCTGTCGGTATCATGCTCATCCAAGGGATCATCAGAGTGGGCATGCAGGCCTCCATGATAAGGGCTTAGGGTTTAGTGTCTAGGCTTTGGGGTCGAGGAACCTATTTAGTAGAAATTTATGCGAACTGGGATACACTTGCATTGGCTCCTCTCGGAGGTTTGGGCGGCGCATGCGTTCGTTGTATAAGTTATCCAGGAAGAGCAAGTTGTAATGGGACATGCTTAGCCCGACACCGCGCGTTTTCTCGTGGAAGCGGTTTAAAGGTTCAGGGTTTCTAGAACAACCTTCCTCCAGAGTCCACAGGCAGTACAACTCCACTCTGACAGTTGGCTCCTTTAAAGGACCTTGTGCCTTGTGGAAGAAGCCCAGCTTCCGGATTGGCTGGACTTTTTAGCCTCACATTTCTTACACGTCTCAGACAAGAGTGCTTTAGGTTTGGGGTTTGCAGTCTAGGGCGTAGGGGTCGGGGAGCTTGGATTGTAGGATTGAAAATGTTTAGGGAAAGAGGGGATGGTTTGCGACATGTGTAGCAGTAATCACCTTAGCTTTTGAAGAAGCCTGTGACAGCTTTCGCTTTCAAATCCCGAGCCCCAAGCCCTAAACCCTGCGAACACGCAAACAAGATCCCATGGTTCTAGGCGCATGCTCTACGTTTCTCAGATGGCGGCTACTTTAGGGTTTAGGTTTTAGGGTTTGGGAGCCCGGGGTGTAGGGTCTAGGGCACCATCAGATAATCCTTCAGCACCGGTTACTGGTGGTTAGTAAGAGATTATATGTGCAGAATAGCATGCAGGCGCAATTATACAGCGTTCTACTAGGAGCTATTTCGCGGATCCCGACCATTTCCTACTAGTCAGCGGTTTTGTGGTGACCCTGAACCCTAAATGGTTGGGCTTATTCAGGGTCCAGGGTCCAAGAGCGGGCCGTCCCTCATTTCTACGTGCAGTTGGAGCAGTTCAAGAAAGGACCCTCCGGGTTTAGGGTTGTAATGCGGGCAGCTGTGGGCACTAGAATCCCCAATCGTTGTCAAGACTGTTTCCGTTTGTTGCGTATAGTGCTTCACCGGAAGATGTAGTTTGACTGGGTGGGCTCAACCACCCAAACACGCAAATCATATAATGACATAAGACATAACCATTTTGGGAGATCCTCTCCAATTCTTGATGATCCCAAGGCCTTTACAGTCACATGCCTTGATAATCAAGGCTCCTCTGACTGAAATTCTTTTGTGGAGGAATTGGACCACCGTGCTTTTCCCTGGCACAGCTGGCATACTCATACTTACAGAGAAGGGGTCTCTTCGTCATAAGCAGGTTTCATAGCAGCGTTGTGTAGAAGAAAGTTGCCTGGTTTCTTGCTTCATTTGCTCTAGACCCTAAACCCTTGAGGATTCTATATAATTTCAGGAAACTCCTTGTGTGAGGTGCAGGGCTTCGGGTTCAAAGTTTAGGGTTGGAATTTGAAAGTGCCCATGTCGTTTCAATGGCTTATGCAACTAGCGTGAACCTTTACATGAACTGGCCTAAATAATTATGTTATCATGGTTCTGGATAGCGTGTACAACCATGTTACATACGGGTACCTTGATTGAATCTAAGGTTGGACTTATGGGCTCCTTGGGTGGGACTTTAATGTGAATGTTCGGGGCCTTGTCCATCCGTTATTGATATCCACTGTGGCTGAAAACCCATCAAAGGTACATAGTTGTATTTGGACTCTCAGGAAGCACCTGCAAGGCTATTGCTAGGTCCCTAGGTCAACTAGACCTCACAAAATACCTGTAATTATTCAGGCGCATCCTAGTTTGGGAACATGACAACGCGTGCCTGCACTGGTCTAGGTCGAAAGCAGAGAACGGCGGTATCCTTGGCTTGCGCCAGGGGTCCAAGTACCCAAGAATATGTATTTCCCTACATACTGCTACCTGGGCCTATCTAGGGTTTCCCGTATGCCAAAATCGAGACCATTTGTAGACTCTATATGATTTATGGCCATTGTAGTTGTAATTTATAGACCTCAATGAACAGGGCCAGGCTTCCCTGGGTAGGCCCCTGGGATATTAAATATTTTCCCCACTTAGTAGGAACTGGCTTTAATAGCCTATATTACATGCGAGTATTTGTTTACTGGTTTTAGGGGCTAACCCAGTCCCTACCATCCAGATCCTAGCTAGCACATTGGGTACTTCGACCGTGTGGTTTACCTTTGGGCTCCTGTCGTCGGCCTAAGAGGCCTAGGCAAACCACGATGTGAAGTACCCTAGAACTAGGCCCTAGAACGCTAAACCCTAAAACCCTAAACCCCTACACCCAAAACCCTTAAACCCTAAACCCTAGGCCCTCAGCCCTAACCCCTATACAGTTTGGGCTTACCCAGAAGTCCAGCGCTTATGTTATGTGGTGAACACTCAGGCTCCAAAGACACCTATACAGGAACCCCGGACCCCTTCGGTTACCGGGGGGTCCCTTGCTACATAATTGTGGTTTGGGGTTTAAGGTTTAGGGCTATATCTTTTAAGAGGCCCAGAGGTGCACCCTATCGCAGGACTTGCAACCCCATACCCTCCTTTATCAGAGCCCACTTCTAGACCAGCTTATAATTAAGGGCGTGGGCGCTTTCTTGTAGGATTATCCAATTCAGCCAACACTATAAACCCTAAACCCAAGTAGTCGGATCCGCCTGGCTTACGCGTGGTGCGCGTGTCCGAAGGCAGGAAGTTCGTCCCAAAGGGACGCCTCAGCCTCCCATGTTGTAGCAGGTTTGAAAAAAGGCGCGTGGGGGCTGCGGGTTCTCGAACATATTAGGTCCTTCTTGGGACGTCCTCATAAAAAGTGAAAAATGTTTGGTTTGGGAATGTTAAGGGGCCAATAGTTCGGCACACCTAAGGCCACCCGGGGTTAGGCCTTTACGAACTGTCAATCCCAATTGTTTTTTGGGTCATACTCATGTATATACATAAAATGCGGAAGCCCGAAGAGCCGTTTGCCAAGGCTAAACCCTAAACCTAAGCCTTGGTAAACCTCAACCTTCTACGCCCTGAACCATTCCACGCCTGAGCAGTTTGCAAAGCCATGGCGTTTTCTGGGGAAACTGCCGAACAAACTTATTTAGGGTCTCAAGTTCACTGAGCTTGGGCCCTGGAAAAGGGTAGTTGGGGTTTTGGTGATAAGACGAAACATAGCATGCAACGATGTATTTGAATATTGGGTGCTTAGATGCTCTGGGACCGCATCCACTTTTGACAACCCCTCATTGGCTTCATAGGTAGGAGGACTATGGAAAACCCGAAGCCCCAAACGCTCAACCCTAGTCCCTAAACCCGGTTCAGACGTACAGAGTGGGGCCTCCTAGTTATCTGAGCCACTAGAAACTCCTTGAGGTGGGCTATATAATATATACAGGATTATGTAGGGGACCACTATAGGGGTTATAAAGGGGGATACTAGGAGTTTGGGCCTTAGGGTTTAGACTACAGCTCGCATAACCATACTAACTAGTAACGTATAAGTCCCATACATCAAACCCCATTCGGGTCCAGGTAGCCAAATAATCGGGTTCCAGCTTAAGGTGCTAGAGCACTTGGAGCCTTAAAGACTTGTAGGGTTCATAGCAAGCTTCACACCATGCAGCTTTCGCCCACTCCTAGCCCAGCTAATACCTGGGGGCCCCTTCTTGTAGGGCTGCAAGGGCCTTAGCGCCTTGTAGGGTAAAAAGTCTCTTGTGAGGACTTAGACGTGCTGCTTGGTTTGTTTGTTTGTTTTTCTGGTTCTGGACTTAGGTTGTAGGGTTGAGAGCCAAACGAGAGTACAAACGACCCTGAACCCGCCAGCCTACACCATGTGCGTTGCAAGGCTGCAGGTTGGGGGTTAGTTGGGCAGCAATACTTGAAGCACAAATGGAAGAACAGACAAAAACGTTCTGAACCTTAATCCCTGATCCTTCATCCAGCCCTTTCCCAAACCTTCCTTCGTTTCGACAAGCAAGGAGCCCCAGAACAACCTCTACAAAGACTATCGACGTCTGTCCTATTAACGCGGGCTAGATGTGGGTTTAGGGTTTATTAGGGAACCCTAAACCCGTTGGTTGGGGGAGGGTGCATGAGGCTTCGGAGGGTCTTGCTTTCCTGTGCAGCCCAGCCTACAGAGCCGCGCGGAGAGCGCCTAGCAATCCTCAGAAGATGGCATGATACCCAAGAAGCCCAGTTAGAGTACCTACAACAAGGCAGCTTCCTGGCCTCTAGGTTAGATGGATCTATGTCGGGGCTACGGAAAATACGTATGGGTATATATATATATACCTAGGTAACTGTGCTTCTAAGGACAGGAGACCTGCACCCAGAAAGCATGCACTATACATCTCGGTTTGGGGTTTAATTGGAGTACCTACATCTCAGACAGGAAACAGGGTCTGCGTGTTAGGCAGCAGCATTCAGTTGGGGATCTTTGGCTGAAGCTGACGGTCATGTTGTTCTCGGAGTGTTTGATTGATGATTGTTGCGGTCTAAGGATGC